TACAAGGTGGAAAAAAAGGTGCCGGCGGAAAAGAAGGAACGACTGAACCCCCCCCCCCCCCCAACCCTCTCTCCTCCCCTCTTCTCCCTTCCTTTTGTCCTCCTCCGAAACAAGAAAAAACACGATGTTGTACTTTTTACTTGGTTGTGATAATAGTGGTAACGGTACTACTACAACTGCTACTACTGCTGCTGCTACTACTACTAACAATACCAATCGTAATAGTAGTAGTGGTGGTAACAACAACAGCAATAGTAGTAATATTTGTAGAAAAAGAGCAGCAGTTGTGTGGGTGGCAGCAGCAGTAGTACTAGTAGTGGTGGAAGTAGTAGTAGAAGTAGTAGTGGTAGTAGTAGATGCAGTAACTGATAAATTCACCTTGCAGCGTGTTATTTAGAGCTTGCCTTGCACCTCCCTTGCATCATCCCGCTAACACTGGTGAATAAATAAACCCAGGGAAGGCAAACTATGCAGTCTCCTGACTTGAGTTAATGACCCATTCTCTCTGCCCCCCCCCCACCCCCCCTCCCCCCTTTTCCTCCCGATTAAACAAATCGCTCGAGTGAAGCCAATATCTTGCATCACCTAGGACGCTCCGGGCTGACTTAGCCCAAAAATCTGCTGTCATTGAATGTCTAGGTATTTCATCACGGCTTTTCGCCACAGGGGGAACTGTGATTAGCATAAGCACGATCATGTGACATACATTTCTCAAAGTATGTGTTGTTGTCCCCTTGTTGGCGCTCAAAAGATCCAGAGGGTGGTGTTAGCCATGGGTGCAGTAGGCCGGGGGGGAGGGGGTGTTAGTACGATAAATAGGGGGGTTAGTAAGCCATCTCTACAGACGAGGTTGCAATATATCCACTGTTAACTCTGGACATTTTACATGAAGATGCCCCAATCTTTTCCACGGTGCCACTCTCTTACCTTGTCTGAAAACCACGGGAACGATCTTTTTTCTTTAAACTGCCCTCATAGCCAACTGCGGGGATTTGAGAATAGGTTTTAAAAAGAAGCAATTCGGGCAGTAATAAATTCACAGAATCCTATTAGATTTGTCATTCTCATTAGTTGAATACACAGCTCCGCAGAGACGTAGAGCTGCCTGATGGAAATAGTATACATGAGGACGAACAACCAGAAATCGGTTTCTGTGCAAAGGAAGAAGATATACCAGTCAGTCAACTCCTGCTGGGTATGTGGAGCATGGAGACAATAAGATAGATGTTGCATCGAAGGACGCAGCAGCTATGGTGCGGGCCGATAAGCTAGGATGTCGATACGGACAAGTATCAAGTCCTCATTTACAATGCTTTCAATACGTCTACGCTGTGTGGGTTCCCACGCCCCATTGTCGTCGGAAAGTGAGGACCGGGGACCCACTACCACTGTACAAGCATGTCGTAAAAGGCATATAATCAAGGGTTAGCTACAATCTAATGAATTTGGCCCGAAAGGTGCAGATGTCTCAACTTCGCTGTGAATCACAACATACCGTGCTAACTGGCCGTCTAATGGCAATGGCACAAAACGAAGGAGGAGGCCAAACAGTGACATGTGCAGGAAGCTGGTGGCTCGGACAGTCATCTACGCATGACTATTGTTATTTTCTATTCTATGTGGCTTCCAGTTCAATCAGGGACCATCTCTACACTGAAAGTTGACTACCATAGATGTACAACTCACTGTGCCCCTCATCTTATCAGTACACTCTCTGAGAGAGTGTCGGCTCTGTGGCTAAGTCGATGCGAACGCTTCGTAATGCCGGGGTGCCGGGTTCGATTCCAGCTGCGGGCCATGCGCCTTACGTTGGTTTCGACAGTGGCATCGGGGGGGGGGGAACCGCCCAGGAAGCAATGGCAAACTACTGGACGTAAATTTGCCTAGAGAAACCACACAACAGCCAGGGACTGATGGGGTTGGTTCTGCAACATCCTGTAAAGGATACGCAACTACCATAACCTAACCTCTGAGAGGCTGCTGTTTGCCCATCTACCTTGGCTTCGACTTTCCCCTACAGTTTGCTTTTTAAAAGTGTTACGTCCTTAAGTGTGATTAAACTATTTCAATTCTCTTCTTTTAGTAACTCTTTTGTTTGTATTCTATCCATAACCTCAGTATATGGTTGCTTTTGTTTCCATGCAATGCGACCTATTCTTCTGCAAATGCTCATTTCCAGAGACTCACTTGTTTGTTCATTGCATTATCCAGCTTTCTGAACTATTTGCAGGTTTCACTATACAACATTTGACAATTCTCATTTGCATCCTGTTGTTTATCTATTTAGCTGTCCATACATAATTTGATCAGATCAGATATTATCTTGAATTTACACACTCTCTAACCGACGCTAGATAAATAACGGTTTGGTATGGATCATGACGAAATCACTGGAAACAGGTACGAACTTTCTATGCGTGAGGCATGTGGGGGAGTTAGAAAGAGCAGGGGCGCTAGGCGCCGGCAGCTGGGAGACCTTGGACCCGTCCCCACTACAACCACCCCCAACACCTATTTCCCCACAATTCTCCCCTAAAACATTATTGAAGGAGCTAAGCGCCCCCCCCCTTTTTTTTTTAAATAACAAATTCCCCCCCCCCCCCCTTTCCTCCCAAACAATCATGCATGGAGATTTCCTTTCCAGCATTGTTTAAACGTTTTGCCTTAAATCAAATCTATTATTTATTTCTTTGCCATTCGGCACATTATAATATTATTTATTAATAATATTATTATGAAAATTTTATAAATCTATTTTATTTTTCTTTATTTTTTATAACACACTGAAATAAGGTTTAAGCTTCCCCTTGAACCCTCTCTTAAGGATCATTTCCTCACTCTCCCTACACCCTCCGATCTACCCCTTCCCTACCCCAATGTTTCCTTCGTTTCGGCGCTCATAGGAAAAGAGCGGATTATAAAAGAAAAGATTGAATCTTTGTTTGGTTTTGTTTGGGGACTTTCCGTGACTGGCCGACTGTCCGTTAACGTATAAATAGTCTGCTTGAAGGGTTGCCGAGTCAGACGAGAACTTGTACGGAAACACCGCGCTTATGTTGTATTTTTTCGTGTGTGTGGGAATTGTTTAAATTTAATATTTAGGTAAGTGACTCCCTGTGGCGTGTTGTGTGATCTTTCCGGGCAGTTTATATTTTAGCTGTAGTGTTATTTCTTTATGGCCCAAAAGAGCTAAACGTTTGATAAGCTATTGTCCGTAAATACGACGTGACGCATGTAAACAGTTCAGGTTTTTTTTTCAACCCCAGTAGTGGTTTGGACATATGATGCTACTTGGCGTTTTAAATAGCGGTAATCAACGGTTCGCAGTACCAGCACTTTAAAGGCATCTTTTTTCGGCGCTGTTGTTATAGACACCGTGTGCTAGGCCAGGGCTCCTTCTTTAAAGACATGCTGTAGTGAACTCCCGCGCTTTTGTTCATAGGAAAATAAAGTGCTGGTGCTACTTATTTTGAGGGGCAGCTGATTGAACAGTTAAGAACGTAGGGCTCTCACACAGAAGACGCGGGTTCGAATCCTCAGTAAGGTTGGGTGTTTATTATATCGGAGCAAAAATACAACTCTAGCCTGCACAGTCTCTGGCGACAGCACTAGCCATTAGGTCATAAATCCCCAAGCCCAAAGATTTCCGTGCCGACACAGCACAGATGGAAAATGCGGGCAGTAATAGCCGGTTTTGTCGGCTCTGTGGCTAAGTCGATGCGAACGCTTCGTAATGCCGGGATGCTTGGTTCGATCCCTGCTGCAGGCCATGGGCCTTGCGTTGGTTTCGACAGTGGTATTAAGAAAGCCGACCGTCCAGGGAGCAATGGCAAAGTACTTGACGTAAATTTGCCTAGAAAAACAACACAAAAACCAGGGGCTGTTGGGGTTGGTTCTGCAACGTCCTGTAAAGGATACGCAACTAACCTAATAGCCAGCTTTGTGTACATCATGGCTATTCAAGTGGCGACTGGTGGTCCAATCCTGACCCGCGATGGCTTAACAAGTGGCATGCGGATCACTGAACTTGTATTAATGACCTTTCTCTGCTGGGACTTGGGTCTCTGGCCCATGACGATCCCCATTTTTACAACTGTGGCCCGCCAGTAAGCTTAGTTGAATAGCCTCAATGTAGACACATGGGCACACACTGTATGGCTGACGTGGTCAACAAAATCACGGCACCTTTACTTCGCGAGATATTTCCTGGTGCCTGTTAAAGACTTGTCAACCCAGGAGACCAGGTTATTGACGAAACATCCACAGTGATGTAGATTCTAACCCAGGACTCCCGGATCGGCAGGCCAGCGTCTAGCCATTGTGCAACCGCGGCCCCGTTAACGAATTATATATCTATATATATATATATTGCAGTTTATGTTGCATCATAGAAACCAAAGTGCTTCTTCGTTGTGCTATTGTGTCGCATGTTTTTGTTTTCTTCGCCAGTCAACCTCCCAATCAACCTATATGCTTATATTGATAGCCTGGTTTTTTTTACTACAATCTAGTATATGAGGAAAACTTAGCAACTAGACAGTACTATAAGTTGTCGCATAATGTTTTTACATTTGCAATTAATGACCTTTTAATCTGAGATATTATTTATTTTCAGGTTTCTCTGTGCTGTCAACCAGATAAAGCTTAACTTAAAAAAAATATCAGTAACAAAAGAGCATCTCATCACCAGAAGTCTGTATAACTTCCAGACGACGCTGAAAAGTCAAATGCGGACTTTATCAAACGCATCCTCCCGCGACTCATTGTCTACCACAGCTTATGGTTGTTTTGTGTGTACAGCTTTTGAACAGTTTTTCTTTAAAGCGAAATTCCCACATTGTGGCATTTAACCCCTGAGATCCGAACCTCTGCCTGCCTCTATCCTTATACGAGTTGTCGCAGAAGGTAGAGCCCTGATTTCTTCAAATCTCCAAGAGATTATTTTGTGCTTTTGAACATTGACTTCCAGTGCCGCACTGTCTTCCATAGCAACCAGAAACATGGCTGACCAGGGAGTTGAAATGGTCAAGTCCAAATTTAGTCTGGTGGAGCTCGTAGAAAACGGCTCCGGAAAAAAATACGAAAACAAGGTAACATTTTACAACTTGTAGTGATTGATATGTCATTTCTTTTTCTGCCCTCGTCCTTAAAAGGGTGTTTGAAAACGTTGTGGTGTGGTTTACAGCAAGCCTGCGATATCTTCATTTTTCAGGCCAACACATTCCAGTTAAGAAATTATTAATTAGTTGCTTCTTACGACATGCTCGTTAAGGAGCAGTGTGGTATATCCCCCACCCCTTTCCACGTCGGAGAGATATGTTGTTAGAAGGTAAAACAAAAGCTAGAATAGGTGAATGGGTAAAAACGGTTCTGACGATTTGTAACGGTAGCTATAGGTAAACAATGGCCATCTTAGTTAAAGTTTACCTCCACATTTTTGATAGCTGCATTTTAGTGGAGTTCTTCTGTCGTTTATCTCGGGTGGTCTCATGGTGAATAATTGGACTGATGAGTGGGTTCGTCAATGAGTAGATCGGAGAGTGGGTGGATATTTGGATGGACGAATGGGCAGATGGATGGATGGGCAGAAAGATGAATGGACGGACAAATGGGCTGGTGTGTGGTAGATGGAAGTATAGATGCGTGTGTCAGTGAGTGGATGGATGGGTGAATATGTTGATGTAAGGATGAATGGGTGAGCGGTTGAAGAGATGTATATTAGCTCTGAGGGCGGGTGGATGATTAGAAGGGCGATGGGCAGGAGTCTTTGAAGTATACACATATGAATGAGCCAACGAACTGGTTAATAATGAGGTAATGTATAGTTAGGCTGTAAAAGAAACGTAAAGGATCCCTTTCCACGTCATCAGGTGGATGATATGGTCAGCATCAGCCTGCCGCCCTTACTTCACAGGACTTTACCTGGTATCCATTTAAGGCTACGTTGACCTGGGATGCCAAGGTCATTTTTGAACCATAAAAAGCCCTGCTTCGTCAGTACTTAAACCGACCATCTTTTGATCTAAAGGGAGCGTCTAGCTACGGTTGCATAATTAGGCTGTAGCGGAAAATTCTATTCTGTTATGTTGTCACAGTCGTCGCCACTGCACATTGGGCATTCCAAAGCGTACTCAGTGTTCCCATGTAGAGGAATGTTATCTGACCCAAGGGTCGGTTAATGCACGGTTGACCAGATGAGTCGATTAACAAATGGGTGACTAGATGGGTCCATTTATGGATTGATAACCAGATGGGTCGATTAACGGATAAGTCAGCACATCGATCGACTAACGGATGGCTGAGTAGGTGTATCGATTGGTGTATGGGTAATCATGTAGTTTATTTGTCGCACGAGTGAGTCTGTGTAAACAGATAGAGCAGAAAGACGAGTGTCGTGCTAAGAGTTCTAAGGTCCTGATTTGCTCTCCACAGCCGGACCAGAAGAAACCCTTGGCTGTAGAGGATGAAGGAAACACCAGCATCATGTTCACACTTCCTGAGAAGATCGGGGTCCTGGCTACAGCCTTGAAAATCTTTGAGGTAATTCTCACCGTATAATAATTGGGGCAATATATGAGAGTTGTAAATACTGTTATAATATGAGAGACCTGGGAGATGTAAATACTTGTTCAATGCACGAGATCGCAAGATGTAAATACTGGTCATCATCATGTGCCCTGTCAACTGGCGTAGGCACTCATGCGTCTCCACAGATCACGATCCCTGGTTGACTGGAACAGCTCTCTTGGTGATATCCCTCCATGCTATCGTTTTAGCCCATCCAGCATCATCTGGCAATCTGATAATCCTAGTTTCAGCTTCATAGCAAACGGGTCACCCCATAGTTGCTCCGCTTCTGTGCCAACAAAAAACACACCTAGCTCACAGTGTCTCGCCATGCACTCAACTCGGAAGCTAGGCGACGAAACTCTATCCTTCTAGTCTGCAAATGGAGCAAAAATGCAACGGTCACCGTCTGTCAGAAAAAAAAAAAAAAAACATTTGCCACGGCTAAAGAAAAAAAAAAGGTGGCCGTGCCTAGCGTCCATTTTGACCTGAAACATTATATGAGGGTTAATAAACGGTCACTCCAGCAGTACCCTCATTATAAGCTGGGGAAGGGACTTAGGACATTACATCCACCAGCAGGCGTCGCCCCTACAACGACCTGCCTGCCTTCGTTAACGACTGTTCACCCAACAGCCATGCCATCCAGCATCGTCTATCTTGGTCTGCCTCGACCCCTTTTCCCACTGATCTTTCCAGTTGTCAGGATGTTCTCCAATGTCTGTCTTCTAATTATGTGGCCAAAGAACAGTGTTTGTCTCTTTCTTATTGTTGTATATAGAGATCTACTTTTATTAGCCTCTTTCAAGCAATCGTTGTTAGTTACTCTGGCCGTCCAAGGTATTCGTAACATTCTCTCAGAAACTACATCTCTGTTGCTACCAAATTCTTCTTAATTTGTTCCGTGACATTCCAAGATTCGCTTCCATACAGCAGAACATGTTCTATGTAACATTTTAGTACCCTATTTCTGACATTAACAGAGAGCGATTTATTGCATAAGATATTTTTCATTTTCTGAAATGCAGCCTTCGCTTGGTACAATACATGAAATTGCAAGATGTAAATACTGGTACAATACAAACGATCTGGGAGATGTAAATACTGGTACAATACACGAGACTGTAAGATGTAAAATATGGGTACAACACGAGAGATTGGGAGATGTCAATACTGGTACACTGTGAAGATTGAGAGATGTAAATACTTCCACAATACTAGAGATTGGGAGATGTAAATACTGGTACAATACGAGAGATTGATAGCTGTAACTACTGTTATATTACGAGAGATTGGGAGATGTAAATACTGGTACAACTACGAGAGATTGGGAGATGTAACTAATGTTATAATACGAGAGATTGGGAGATGTAAATACTGGTACAAATACGAGAGATTGGGAGATGTAACTAATGTTATAATACGAGAGATTGGGAGATGTAAATACTGGTACAATACGAGAGATTGATAGCTGTAACTAATATTATAATACGAGAGATTGGGAGATGTAAATACTGGTACAAATACGAGAGCTTGATAGCTGTAACTAATGTTATAATACGAGAGATTGGGAGATATAACTACTGGTACAAATACGAGAGATTGGGAGATGTAAATACTGGTACAAATACGAGGGATTGAGAGATGTAAATACTGGTACAAATACGAGGGATTTTCCGTCAGCGTCTGTGGCTTAGGCGTTACGAACGCGCTTCGTAATGTCAGGGTGCCGGGTTCGATCCCTGCTACGGACGGTTTGTCTTGCGGTCTTGCGATGGTTTCTGGACGTAAATTTGCCTAGAAAACCCACAACAGCCAGAAAGTGTTGGGGTTGGTTCTGCAACGTCTTGTAAAGGATACGCTACTAACTTTTTTTAAACACTTACCATGTGCGAGAGACCGAAAGTTAAAGGTTAGAAAGATTGGAAATGTATTATATACTCTTTGTCAAAAAAGTTTTTGAATAACTTGAGACATAAATTAACAGGTACTGGGCGGCGCACGTAGAAGTAAAGACATCAGTTTGTAAGTAGAGTTAGTATAGTAACCGTAAAGTATCACATACCTATATTTTATATGCCACTCGGCACTCGGGGGGAGGGGGTGGTCAGCATCACACCGACACCCTTTATTTCCTATGACTGTTCCTGATAGTAACTCAAAGCTGGATCGGCCTAAGAGCTAGGGTAATTTCTATTTAAAATAAATTCCGGCTCCACTAGGACCCGAATCCACGACCTTTTGATCTGCAGGCGAACATCTGTCCGCTACAGCAAGGCGGATTTCGGAAACAAGAATGGTTTCAGAATAACCTGTATGAGAGAGTACGAGTTCTGCAATGCTTTTTATGTCAAAGTCCAAATCTCATTCAGGCATTTACTTCACAGAAACATGGAGTCAACCTCTACCACATCGAGTCCCGACCTGCCCACAATGACCCCACCAGTTTTGAGTTTTTCATCGCCTGCGACAACCAGTCTGGATGTCTCAAGGTATCTTCGTTTTTATATTGCTAATACTGTATGCCATCTCTGCTTCTTCTTCTTCCTCCTATCCCTCTTCTTCTTTCAGAGGACAGCTGGAATGGTGTGTTGTGGTTTACGCCTGGGCTGCGATATCTGAGGCTTTCGGTCCAATACACCCGTGTTCAGTATCTCCCTAAATAAGTAATCTTTTACGAGATGTGTGTTAAGGATCAGTAGGTTTATTCTTTTATCCCCACAAAATAGGTCCCGGAATGCCCACTTGGGGTCATCTCTGTGTTTCCGGGGTCGGTAAAGGAAACGAAGAATGGGAACACTGTAATCAGTTACGCGTACCTTAAGAGGCGACTAAGGAAGGTTGGGATGAAACTCCTTTAAATTGTAACAAAATATAAATATAAATAAAAAATAAAAACTTCAGTGGCAAAATTCAGTCAACCAGTTCTGCACTGGTCGCCGAAGACAGAGGTCGAAATGCCTATGGAAATGTCCTAAAATCTGTTTGTGGGTTCAGATTTCAACTCATCTGAGCCCTGTAAAAATAACCACCTCGTCCAACTAACACCTATCAGTTAAACAAAAATCAAACTGGCTGGCTTATGAAGAACAGATCAACAGAGACGCAAGCATTATCACATACTGACATGATTAACTGCATGTTAACGAGACTTGTACACACTTGCCAGGATGCCATTGAAGACTTGAAGACCCTGACCAACAAACTGACGCTCTTGTCCAGGAACTCCAGCAACAGCACGTCGGGCGATGAAGGTAAGATCTGATTTTTTTTTGTAACTGCTTTACTGTCATATAATTATATTTGAGAATATATGACTGACATACCTTCATATGTGAACATTAATCACCATCATCATTATTATCATCATCGCGTAGCAGGTCTTTTGCAGGGCGTCGCTTTCATTGCGGCACGGAAGAAATCCACTGGGGTCCCCTGCCAGCTTTTCTGCCTGTTAACTGGAAAGTCCTTGATATCCTGTGGTCCACCATCTTACTGGTCGTCCCCTGCCTCTCTTCCCAGAATCCTACCCTTCGTTACTGAGAAATGATACCGTGTTTGACCACTAGTAAATAAATTAAAATAAAATAATGAGCGTATTACGTAGCCGAATTATCTGTACATCTGGGAGTTAAGGTGGAGCAGTGACTAACACGGTTGCTTCTTGGCCAGGTGTTCATGTGTTCAAATCGTCATTGAGGCGTGGTATTAGAAGTCGGATGTGTCGGCCGAAAAGTATAAATATCCTAGACAGCCTGTAAACGAGCAGAACGCAGTTACATCTTCGGATGAACGCAGAAAATGAAGAAGAATATTAAAATTGACTCCACGATGATCAACACTAGCGGATACAAAAAATATTTTAGGACCTAAAGGCGGCCTGTTTTTTAAGGAAAGCTAGAAGGGCGTCACACCCGTTCAGCACCGTTTACATTAAAAAAAAAATCTTTACATTCCGTAGTCTGGCCAGACAACGTCATAATTTATGTATCAGTACCCAGTGAGAGGGAGTCGCCGTGAAGTAGCGGCTAGAGGCTCGCCTGCGGATCGGAAGGTCGTGGGTTCGCTCCCTGTCGGAGCCAGGCTTTTTTCAAATATGACCTTGACCTCCAGGTCGACCTAGCATTGAGTGAGTACCGGGTGCAAGTAAATGCGCCTGGTGTGATGCTGACCACATCACCCATCTTGTGCCGGGTTGCCCATAAAAATGTAGGTCTAGCCCTATATGCCCTAATAAGCCTAAAGGCGTGGAGAGGGGACCTTTACTTTTTCTTTTACCTAGTGAGAAATCAAGAGTTTCTATCATCTACACATGAATATAAAAGCGGAAAATATCCCATTTGTAGAAGTGTATAATTTTATACTGCCAATCGAACTGGGTCTACTTGAGCGGAAGGTGAACGCCCTGCTCCTAAAGTATATTACAGAAGTGGTAGCATAACGGTGCTTTCACTTACAGCGGGCTGAAAGATGGCGATATACTGGGTAAATCCTGAGAAGAAAGGAGCAGAGAATCACCAGACAGGCACACACAGGAAATACATGTACTCAGGAGAGGAGGACGTCGATGGTGCTGCGCTAGATTCTATTCGTTGTATTTAAACTATTGTACATAATAGAACGGAATTGGACGATCAACTGTGTGCCCTGTGTGGCGTATAAAGGCGCAACAGGATGATGATGATGGTGATGATGATAAGGATTGCCTGCGTAAGACCTGGGATGTTATATCTGTGTTGTGCTGAACTGTCTGCATTTGTCTTTCAGTGCCTTGGTTTCCCAGAAAGATTAAAGAGCTGGACAGGTTTGCCAATCAGATTCTGACATATGGGGCAGAACTGGACTCTGACCACCCGGTGAGTGGACATGAGGGCTGTGAGTTGCATTGTCTTCACTGTAGTAGTGTGTGAAGCATGTGGTAGTAAATAGCAGCAGCAGTAGGAGCAGTAGCAGTGGTTTTAGTAGGAATAGTAGTTGTAGTAGTAGCAGCAGCAGCAGTAGTATTAGTGGCGGTAGTAGTAGTAGTAGTAGTAGTAGTAGTAGTAGTAGTAGTAGTAACATTAGTAGTAGTAGTAGTACTAGTAGTAATAGCAGCAGCAGCAGTAGTAGTAGCAGCAGCAGCAACTGCAGAAGTAGTAGTAGTAGTAGTAGTAGTAGTAGTAGTAGTAGTAGTAGTAGTAGTAGTAGTAGTAGTAGTAGTAGTAGTAGTAGTAGTAGTAGTAGTTGTAGTAGTAGTAGTAGTAGTAGTAGTAGTAGTAGTAGTAGTAGTAGTAGTAGCAGCAGCAGCAGCAGCAGCAGCAGCTGTGTAATGATGATATTTATGATTATAAAAAAAAGACATCATATTTTGCACGAAATACGAGTTATACAATTGTTCTTCGGTTACACTTACACTCTCTCTTCTACCTTCCCGACTGCGTCGCTGCAGGGCTTCACAGATCCCGTGTACAGAGAAAGAAGGAAGGAGTTTGCTGATGTGGCCTATAATTACAAATGGTGGGTGCTATACTGTTGTCGTATTTTCTTTAAACAATTAAAAAAAAAATTGATGCGATCCTAGGAAATAGAATTCTACAATAAAATTCTTTGAATTCCTCGGACGGTCAAACAAAGTAACCGAAATCTTTGGAAAGAGGATAATGCATGAAGACAACTTATCCCACACACTAGCAAGAAGCTAATGCATAAAGACAACTTATCCCAAAGATCAGAAGCAGAAAAATGCATCAAGACAACTTATCCCAAAGACGAGAAAGAGAATAATTCATAAAGACAATTTATCCCAAAGACCAGAAAGAGGCAGTATAATTTCAAATAGACAATGAATACAAGATATGAATGTTAATAAATCGAGTTTTTCAGGATACGAGGTCAGGCTCCCAATTTTGGTAGCCCTAAAATACAAGGTGAAATCCAGAATGATAGCTGGAGAGACCAGAAGTCTCGGCGTTGCCGTCCATTTTATCGGTTAACTAAATGAAAAACGTCATTTTGAAACCAACAGGATACATTTTTTGGAGGGGTGGAACGAATTAAAACGTTAATTTTAATGACCCCCCACCCACAAAAAAGTTCAAGGAGCTCTCCTCCGAACTTCGTCTCCATATTATGGCAGCCAAACAAATACCCTAACAAGGCCTCAGTCATGTTTAAAATTTGGAGTGCCTGCCAAGGAACAAATTGCGGCACAACTATGATTGCCTCCAAATAACTGGCCAATATTATTAAAGGCAAACAAATACTTTTAACAGGGTCTCAGTGTCGCACCGCCGCTACGCGAGGCGAGGATGGGGTGCTAAACTAGATAGCTGGGACTCAAGAGCAAATAAATTAGAGAAAGTTGCTGGAGATGCGGTAGCTGCTGCTCATGAGTCCTAGCCATCTAGTTTAGCACCCCATCCGCGCCTCGCGTAGTGGCGCGGGGGGTACCTCGGTGGTGAGTTTAACCACTATCGCTAACCTGCGTCGGAGCTCGTGGTCTTCCCGCCATGTAGTTATTATCGTGTTTTGTTGCGTCCCTCGAAATTGTCAACGGACAGTAATCCTAGTTTTGCCGCGATGTGTTCGTTGGAGGAAGTTCACATTTTACACACGACTGAGGCTATTTGTTTGGCCGCCATAATATTGGGACGAAGTTCGGAGGAGAGACGATTTTGAGGCTCTAAGTTGCACCTTATATCGAAACCCAGCACTGAATGGGACTGAGCCCTCCTTCCTCTTCCAATGATTTCTTTGTGGGGGAACCTTTGGGCAGCCATTAAATAAGACAATTGAAAATTTTTTTTTTTTAAATGGTACATGTAACAGCAGGACATGGAATAAGAGATAAAGAACTACAGTAAGACAAGATGCTTATCAGCTTCTGTCAAGAATGGAGCCGCAGGAGCGCAGTGGCCAGGGGCTTGCCTGCCGGCCCGAAGATCTTAGGTTCAAATCCGAATCGAGGCAGCTTTTTTAAAAACTTGTCTCCCAGGTTTGATCCAGCTTCAAATGGTTAGCAGAATATTTTATGGGAAATAAAAGCGGTCGACGTGAGATAAACCACATCCGCGATCTAACCAAAAGTATGTGTCTGGCTCCATATGTCCAGGGCACCACTGGTATTACGACACAAAGAAAGGCCCTCACGTTACAGAGTCTCTTTTTCTTTATTTTTCCCAAAAACGTGAGTTTTGCGTGTACTTCCGTTTACAGATCTGGCTGACTTATGAGCAGAGCTATGGTTCCTCACCTCTCTGACAGAGGTACTCAGAATTTCGAAGGAAACACTCATAATTAGTCTTTTTTTTTTTTTACTACATGCTTGTAAGGGAAAAGTGGGTCTATCTCCTCCACTCCACCCACCCCCCCCCCCCCCCCCCCCAATCCCCTTTCCCCCGTGGTGCTCTGGAACGAACCCATACGAAGAGATAATTATTATGATAGTATTTTGCACCGCCAAACTGGCCATCAACGAAAGAATCACATACCAGTTTGTAATTTCATGTCTCCCCAGTGGCCAGCAGATTCCTTACATGGAGTACACGAGTTCCGAGAAGAAAACATGGTAAGCCAAATTATATTTACAGCATCGTTTCATCGTTTTGCTCGTAAATGAATCACCCTATAGTTGGGCACAAAACGTCCATAGGTGGGAGGGAGGTGTGGGGAAGGAGGGGGAAAAGAGTGAGTGTTTGTGTGTGTGTGTGTGTGTGTGTGTGTGTGTGTGTGTGAGAGAGAGAGAGAGAGAGAGAGAGAGAGAGACCGATACAGATAGAGAGTGAAGAATATAACTGTTATACCTACAGTATTTGCCAGTAGTGTATCTGAGGAAAGTAGACATTTTAACTTTCCAAGACCGAGCGAAATACATCACTCTCAGACTTCGATTAGCACACTGTATGTCACTGCCTGGAACATGTGAAAGTTTTACACTTGTTACCCCCACTTGGAACCTATTTCACACAAATACCTCACCACTAACTTCACATCTCATTTTCCATTACACTTATTCCAATTCACTTAACACTCCAGTTCACCCACCCTCTTTACACACCACCACTTTACATCTCCACTTCACACCCTATTTCACACATGACTCCTCCTCTCCAACCCACTTCACATACCCCTACTTTTCACACACACTCCCTAGTTTACCCCACAATCTCATCACCCCCCCCCCCCCCACCACATCCAATTTGAACCTCCATTTCACACCACTCTTTATATTATTTCAAGCAAACTCGTATATTTCACATTCCATTTCACACCGCACTTCACACACGCCATTTCATACACTGCGTTTCACACACGTAACAAACATTCCATCCCACTTCACACTCCAACGACAGTACCTGAAATAGGGCTAGCTTACTTCACTTGTGTTTCCTCCCCTGAAGGGGGACGATATTCCAAGAGCTGGTGAGTCTGTACCCCACACACGCTTGTAGAGAGTTCAACCACGTTTTCCCGCTGCTGATGGAAAACTGTGGTTACAGGAAGGACAACATTCCACAGCTGCAAGACGTTTCTGACTTTCTCAGAGGTGAGTACCTCACTTACAGACTGTTCGGTCAGCAGTGTAACATTGTAATTTTTTTTTTTGGGAACATGTTGTGACCACTGGAAATATTTAGGAGAAAGAGAAACAGAGAAAGACAACACAAGAAGAATTATTGACAGCTGAGTGCTATTCACGGTAACTGTGACGTTGACCTTTCATTCATAGCTTCTTGGACTCTCTGGGTCACAGGGGTGTGTCTTTTCCGTCCGGGACATTTCACGAAACAGCGCAATGAACAGCTACCCGCAAAATCGGTCAGTGCGTTGCTCACAGAACGGCGCAAAGAACAGCAACATCGGTCAGTGCGTTGCTCACAGAACGGCGCAAAGAACAGCAACATCGGTCAGTGCGGTGCTCACAGAACGGCGCAAAGAACAGCAACATCGGTCAGTGCGGTGCTCACAGAACGGCGCAAAGAACAGCAACATCGGTCAGTGCGGTGCTCACAGAACGGCGCAAAGAACAGCAACATCGGTCAGTGCGTTGCTCACAGAACGGCGCAAAGAACAGCAACATCGGTCAGTGCGTTGCTCACAGAACGGCGCAAAGAACAGCAACATCGGTCAGTGCGTTGCTCACAGAATGGCGCAATGAACAGCATCATCGGTCAGTGCGTTGCTCACGGAACGGCGCAAAGAACAGCAACATCGGTCAGTGCGTTGCTCACAGAACGGCGCAATGAACAGCAACATCGGTCAGTGCGTTGCTCACAGAACGGCGCAATGAACAGCAACATCGGTCAGTGCGTTGCTCACAGAACGGCGCAAAGAACAGCAACATCGGTCAGTGCGTTGCTCACAAAATGGCGCAAAAACAGCAACATAGGTCAGTGCGGTGCTCACAGAACGGTGCAAAGAACAGCAACATCGATCAGTGCGTTGCTCACAGAACGGCGCAAAGAACAGCAACATCGGTCAGTGCGTTGCTCACAGAACGGCGCAATGAACAGCAACATCGGTCAGTGCGTTGCTCACAGAACGGCGCAATGAACAGCAACATCGGTCAATGCGTTGCTCACAGAACGGCGCAAAGAACAGTAACATCGGTCAGTGCGTTGCTCACAGAACGGCGCAATGAACAGCAACATCGGTCAGTGCGTTGCTCACATAACGGCGCAATGAACAGCAACATCGGTCAGTGCGTTACTCACAGAACTGCGCAATGAATAGCATCATCGGTCAGTGCGTTGCTCACAGAATGGCGCAATGAACAGCATTATCGGTCAGTGCGTTGCTCACAGAACTGTGCAATGAACAGCAACATCGGTCAGTGCGTTGCTCACAGAATGGCGCAATGAACAGCAACATCGTTCAGTGCGTTGCTCACAGAACGGCGCAGTGAACAGCAACATCGGTCAGTGCGTTGCTCACAGAACGGCGCAATGAACAGCGACAAGCCGCAACCTCGCATATCGTCGGTGTCCCCGAAATAATCTAGAATTAGGTCACACCCACGAGCAGTCCAATGAATTATGAATGATACAGTGCGCAGTGCGTAACATACTTTGAATGTCACGGTTATCGTGAAAAGTGTCGACAGCTGTTTTGTCATGGCATGGATGGGGTGTCGGAACATGACTGATAAACTCTATTGGAGATCGCAAATTGAGGAAAGGTATGATCACCAACGCCAGTCGACAAGACACTTAATGATAATGATGATGACCACTTTTTTCTTAGGTTCCTTTCTAGCAAAATGCTTCAAACGTTGGCTTCGCTCTTTGGGATATTTACAGTTAATTTAGGACTTCGTCGCTGCGTTTACTTTTGCAGGTGTTTCATAGATCGCTGAGAACTCGGAAGTTCTTGATATATTTAAGGTCCAACAAATTAAGTAATGAGACTAATTCCATAAAAATTGAAATAATCAACTGTTGAAGATCTAACCTGTATCTCATTCACAGTAAGCCCCTTGTGCATTGTTACAGCAATTGACACGATCTAACAAACATTGGAACGATCTCTGTAGTTCTTCTGTTGTTATGGCCCTTAAAGTCGATGTTACGGCCCTTTGAATGTCATCAGTATCGTTAAAGAAGCGTTCTTTCAATTGTAACTTTAATTTTGGTAATAGAAAATAATCGCAGGGAGACAAATCTGGGGAATAGGGTGGAAGGCTGAAAACATACTCTTGTTTTTGGGCCAAAAGTTCTTGCTTTGATGATTTCTGTTGGTTACTCAACCCGCTGATGTTTTTTGGTCATTAGACAAAATTAATAAAGCATACATCTCAGATCAGCATAAAGGTACGCCTATCCCTCTGGTTGGCATGACAGAAAACAGTGATTAGAAAGCTGGCCGACCAGCGATACAGATAAAACCAGATGCACTGTGACCAGTTGAATAGATATGTTTATCCAAACGTGACCACCAGAGACAGATGGCAGGGGGGTGATTGAGAACCCACGCGGAGAGAGTAGGCAGCGCGGGAATGAGCAGGAGGGAGGCGGTGAGTGGCTAACGGCGGGAGGGAGAAGGACAGTTGGAGCGAGCTGCTTGAGAGGGAGTTGGGAAAACTAGAGCTGTGCTTCGTTAGAAGAGATATGTTAAACTTGGAGTTTAGCTAGAACAGTGATTAAGGAACTCATAGAGAGACATAAGAATAGCCAGTAACAAGATAATAAAGTGTTCCTATACTATTGGTTATTGAAATGATTCATGCTGTTTGTCTTGACAATATTTTTAATAAACAAACTCTTGTGTGCATTGTTACATCACTGGCCTTGTTGTTAAATACGATTCAATAGAGCTACTAACTATATCCATAATACACTGTCCGAATTAGGCACATCCATACTTGGGGGATGTGAAGACACAACTGTATCACAGATGAATGTGGTACAAACTGGCAAGCAACTTTTTTGGGAGCTAAAATCTTGCACTAAAATGTTATGAATGGTCTCTCTTTTAACACCAGATTCATCTGCCATCATCCTCACAGTAAAACAATGATCTGTTTGTATGCGTTCTCTGACTTTTGCAATGAGTTCATCATTACGAACAAAAATTTGGAGTCCAAGTCTAGGTGCATTAATGATCATTTCCACACCACTTTTGAATCGTAAATACCACCTGAAAATTTGTGCACGAGATAAAAAATTATCCCCATAAACTTGTTGCATTAATTGAACAGTTTCGATCGCGCTTTTTCTGGGTTTTAAAGAGAATTTAATGTTAGCTTTTTGCTCCACACCGATTTCGTAACAATGCACGTCTGACTGGTTAAAACAAATGGCGGCTTGTTTGTTGTCTGCTTATCGAGCAGCGATGAAAAGTTGCCAGATTATAGATGAATGTTGCCTCTTTACATTCCACGCTTTGCTTCATAGATGCCATTTTTGTCTTAGCCATAATAAAATCAGTCTTACTTAATTGTCGCCCCTTGAATATGTAGAGATTTCTTTAGCACACCAATATCCAGTTTTTCTCGATGGCATGGATTCAACTTATAGAACAACTAAGCAATCATGTAATAACCTTGATCATTGTCTTCCCCCATCAACTTCAGCTGCCATAACCAGCAGGTTTCTCTGTAGCTTCAGCTGTAATAGTCCGTGGATTTATGTGTAATGTCAAGCGTTAAACTAATTTTACAATTAGTAACTCTTCACTCACACAACAATAAAAACTTATAAGACGTCATAACAAACCAGTCTCAGGGCTATTAACATTGCAGGCTAAGCATGTGTGTATGTATGTCTGATTGGTCGTTTAACAATGTTAGTCGTTTGTCGTTAGTTAGTCGGTAGAGTTTCCAGCATCCCCGAAGTAGGATCTTGCTATAATTGCTCAGTGGAAATCACGCCGTCACTGTCCTATTTGAAAACTGTTGAAAAAACTTGCCAGTCCCCGCCAAATAGTATAGCTTACACGCGCAAAGTAAAAATGCCAAAGTGAGCTGTCAGATGTGTAAATACTAACGGTCCTACAACAGAATTGCAGTTTACTATTGGTGTAAATGGTCAGTCACGAAAGCTGGCATTGCACCCTCAAAATTACAAGCTATTCTGAACGAAAGCGTCCGTCTCTATTTTTGTTTAGGCAACAACACGCCAGAAAAGAAATACCCCATATGAAATCCACAGCTCGCAGTGTCGCACCAAACATTCCTCTCAGTAGCAGAGTGACGGAACATTTGGACACCCAACCCAGAAGTAGGGAATTTGCCTCAGTAAAACCTAGGTGGAAAAAAAAAATGTTTCAGAGCGTCAGCGGTCAGCCGGCTGTCGACCATTTTGGCTGTAAAATGTTTATCACATCTAGTAAAAGTAATACTGCTATGACTAATCCGCTAATTTATAATTATTTAAATTAAATGCCAAAATATACAGTGTACTTCAGAATATACATATAAACATGAGTTTGAATGATTTGGGTCTGTAAGCATGGCTTAAAATGCTTATATGGAGGCCACACGAGTGTAAAGGACCCCTTTCACCATTGATGCATTGTGCATTATTTGTTAGATTCATTTTTTAAATAGACTAATCGACATTTTATTGGTGATTACTTATCAGTGAAGACTGTCATAAAACTAACATTCCGAACAGATCTGTAGGTGCTTCGATCTCCTTCTCAATTGCTCCACCAACGTCAAATAACTGATCACGAACGTTCTGTGTTCCGATGGGTGATGTAGTTAACATTGCTGCGATCACATTTACCTCCAAATGCATTTTCTAGCAGTCGTTTTATACATAATCCAGGTTCTTTTCTGTTTAGCGACCACATCACGCGAGATTTAGGGACATCCCATATTAAAAGGGGCTTAAGGTTAATAGTAGTCGCCATTCATTTAACACAAACCCTAAACACCCTATAATATGGGATGTCACTTAATCACGAGGGATGTGGTCGCTAAACAGAAAAAGAACCGGAATCCATCTGCAGTTCTAAATCAGTTCTAAAAATGCGCCATGATGCAAATTCCAACCCAAGAGTTTCGACATTGTGTGGATATTTTGTTACTCTCTCTCTCACACACAGATTGTACCGGGTTTTCCTTGAGACCAGTGGCTGGCCTACTCTCGCCACGTGACTTCCTGGCCGGGCTTGCCTTCAGAGTGTTCCACTCGACCCAGTACATCAGGCATGGCTCCAAACCCATGTACACACCTGAGCCGTGAGTGCACACGTTATATTAGGCTTCTTTTAGTGTAGATCCCGAGTGTACAACACTAGGATTCTTTTAATGTCGATTTCAAGTGTGCAACGTTAGACTATATAGACTAATCACAATCAGTGCCAGATTTAGGTATGATAGCCTACACCCAAGGGCCTCATAATCTACAGGGGCCTAGTAAATTCCATTTTTTTCACAAATTGAATTAGAAAACAAATAATTTAAATGCTATTTTTCCTTATTATGTTTCAAATTTTACAACTTATGGCCTTTTAAAGGTGATTTTGTAAACACGTTCTTTATTATTTCTTTTAATAACAATGAAAAGACAAAATATTACCATTATCCATATATATATATAAAGGCGTATGTATTGTATAGTTTTCTCATATTAGCTAGTGTAATTTATCATAGTAGGGACCTCAGAACTGTATATAGATAAGGCCCTAATGACATCTAAATCCAGTCCGCGGCGGCGGGGTGGTTGTTGTTGTAGTTAATTAAAGTTATTGTGGTGGTGGTGGTAGTGGTAGAGAAGAAGAACAGCAACAACAAGACCATTGAGCAGTGGCGAGACGTGTATGTAACGGATGTTATCGACGCCTATACTTTCAATAGCCAAAGAAAATGCATTATTTCACTTTTTAATTAAAAACTGTCTACTTATTATTACAACGCCACGCGGTTGACGTCTCGAATGTAGCAAAAAGAAGCATGCTTACGCCACCCATGCAGACATTGTAACGTGTAAAAGCTACTGGTTACTAGAAATACGAAATTCACTGCCGACACATACTGTAAACAGTGAAGCGCCAACGAGGAAAATATCACGTGATACCCTCTCCAGTGTGACTGTTAACTGCTAACGCTTACACTTCGCAAAATAATTGATCAAGCCTGTCTACTAGCATTGAAATAAACTACTAAGACATTGTCATTAGCTCTCTAGTCTATAAAAACCAAAGGTCTGGGTTCAGTTCATGTCAGTGGCACAAATATCTTCTTCGTTTGATTAACAAAGTTCTGATGTTGGTGAAGCCCACTTCCTAAGTGGGACAGTTTTCTGAACTTAGGGAAATTATGAGGGAAGTAAGTACTGCATGTCCTGATGTATGTTCCCAGCTACAAGATCTTCCTTGAACTACAATTACCTACATGTTCCCAGTAATAGATCATTTTGTGTATTACAATCGTTACTACTTGCTCCCAGCCTAGGCCATTCACTGTACTATAGTTACCACTAAGCCACTCATCATTCTACAATAGTCGCTACTGTTTCAACAGAGACACTTGCCATGAACTACTGGGTCACGTGCCACTATTTGCTGACCAATCGTTCGCTCAGTTCTCCCAAGAAATTGGACTTGCCAGCCTGGGTGCCCCGGATGAGTACATCAAGAAACTGTCTACGGTAAATGTGCATACTATTAGTCAATGTTTTATGGCTTTAATATTCACAATCGCGCTAGAAGAACAAGGAGAGATGTTACTTTAATTCATGAGACTGGTATACAGAATAGGGTCAACTTCCAAACAGAGTCTGTAGACAAATTAATTAACATAGTGCAAAGGGAAGACCATGCGAAATATGGATCGATGTGGCATAAAGAATTCTTTAGAAAAATTAAAATCAACTTATATAAGACATTAAAAAAGCACACAGAAGATCCTTACATCATCCTCAAACATTTCAGCGAGGTGATGGGTGAGGAGGAGGAGGAGGAGGAGGAGGAGGAGGAGGAGGAGAAGAAGAAGAAGAAGAAGGGGGAGGAGGAGAAAGAAGGTCCTTGCATCTTCCTTCCCCAGTCCCTCAGTGATTCAGTGGGGTAACTGGAGGAAGAAAAAAAATGAAGAAGATTCTTTGGTTAATTCCACACTTTAAAGAACAAAAAAGCACCAGGCAGAGACGATCTGCCAGCAGAACTTCTCAAAGTAGATCCCAACACAACTGCTAGCATTCTAGAACCATGGAAAAGAAGTGTGCTTGATGACTGGACAGAAGGAAAAATAGTCCAATTCCCCAAAAGAGGAGATTTAACAGACAGCAATAATTGGAGGGGAATTACTCTACTCTCAGTACCAAGCAAAATGTTTTTGTAAAATCATCATAATGCGACTGGAAAAGGGAGTAGATAAATGCCTACAAGTGGAACAAGCAGGGTTCAGAAAGGGCAGAGGAACAGCTGGGCATATCTTTACTCTACGTAACATTTTAAAACAATACAATGAATGGCAGAGAAGTATATATATTAATTTTGTGGGCTTTGAGAAAGCTTTTGACAGCGTCCATAGAGACAGTCTCTGGAAAATTTTACGACATTATGGAATTCCAGAAAAGATAGTCAACATAATTCCTCTGTATCATAAAAAAATTACAATACATCTTTCCCAGTAAAGACAGGTTTAAGACAGGGATGTGTTATGTCATCCCTCTTCTTCAACATTGTGATTGATTGGATACTAAAGAACACAGTAGACAAGACATCGAGAGGCATACGATGAACTCCATTCACCATGCTTGAGGACCTCGATTTTGCAGATGATTTAGCACTCCTATCACATAAACGAAACATATACAAGAAAAAAGTAACAGTCTACTCAGCACAGCAGTAATGGTGGGACTGAGAATAAATACAAGGAAAACTAAGATCATGACGAACAGTGCAAATCAACAACCAGTGACTATAAATAACCAAACACTTGAAAATGTAGAACATTTAACATATTTTGGAAATGTGGTGTCCCTAATGGGAGGAACCGAGGAAGACATACAGTCACGTCTGAACAAAGCTAGAGCTGCTTTTGGGAGGATGAGGCAAATCTGGAAATCCAACAATTACTGCAGAGGAACGAAACTCCGACTCTACAAGAGCATCATTTTGCCAGTTCTTTTTTATGGAGCGGAATGCTGGAGAATGAACAAAAAGGATGCACACAAGCTGTCCACCTTCCACCACACATGTCTACGTAGAATTATCAAAATTTTCTGACCAGATACAATCCCAAACACTAAATTACTTCAAGTCACAAACCAAGAAACTCTAGACAGTATGATAACCAAGAGAAGATGGAAATGGCTTGGCCACGTTATGAGAATTAATCCTGATATATCTGCAAAAACAGCTCTAACATGGACATCAAAGGGAAAGAGAAAGAAGGGGCGCACAAAAACAACATGGAGAGTGACCTGAATGCGGCATCTCTAACATGTAAAACTGTACAGAAGATTGCACAGGACAGGAAAGCATGGAAAGTCCTCTCTGACGCCTCATGTGCCACTAGGCATAACGAGAACTGATTGATGTTTAGAATATCTAGAATGTAAAGTAGTATGATTTTACGCTTCGACGACCAATTGCATTTATAATGGTGATTAGCTGGTGTTGACAATCTGGCGGCTGCTTTATGCATTAACTGCGTGTGCGCGTTGAGGTCCTTTACAGCTGGTGAAGGTTAAGAAGAAGAAGAAACAGAAACTCATCTAACCTATAAAAGTTCCCTTTCACGCCTTTGACGCATTGTGCAGGTGGCAGAGCCCTGGTGTAGACATGCCACGCCAATGAGTACTAGAAGGCGGGAGATCAATCAATTTGTCCCCCCGAGCTGCTACCTTAAAGTCTACCATACCATCCTCAGAATTAATAAAATCTCAGTCTGGACGGCAGACTAACAAGGCAGATCACAGGCACCTGTTCAACCTTCAGCTAACGGCCAGGTGTTACCTGTAGTCCAATGCGGGTAATGGCCAAGACGGGTGACTCGGTTTAGGGTTTGGATAGTCTTTGAATGTGGTCAGGTTTTTCAAGAATATGAACCTGTGTGTTTATTTATTGCCAGCTGTACTGGTTCACTGTTGAATTTGGACTGTGTAGACAAGATGGACAACTCAAGGCATATGGGGCAGGACTGTTGTCTTCCTTTGGTGAACTTCAGGTAGGGAACTGATCATCAGTGTAGTCTGTTCATATCTTAACACTTCTGTCACAGACGAAGAAGGAGGAGGAGGGGAAGAAGAAGAAGAAGAAAAAAGAAGAAGAAGAAGAAGAAGAAGAAGAAGAAGAAGAAGAAGAAGAAGAAGAAGAAGAAGAAGAAGAAGAAGAAGAAGAAGAAGAAGAAGAAGAAGAAGAAGAAGAAGAAGAAGAAGAAGAAGAAGAAGAAGAAGAAGAAGAAGAAGAAGAAGAAGAAGAAGAAGGAAAAGAAGGAGGAGGAGGAGGAATCAGAAAAACAAGTGAAGAAAAAGAAGAAAAAGAAGAAGAAGAAGAAGAAGAAGAAGAAGAAGAAGAAGAAGAAGAAGAAGAAGAAGAAGAAGAAGAAGAAGAAGAAGAAGAAGAAGAAGAAGAAGAAGAAGAAGAAGAAGAAGAAGAAGAAGAAGAAGAAGAAGAAGAAGAAAATGAAGAAGAAGAAGAAGAAGAAGAAGAAGAAGAAGAAGAAGAAGAAGAAGAAGAAGAAGAAGAAGAAGAAGAAAAAGAAGAAGAAGAAGAACAAGAAGAAGAAAATGAAGAAGAAGAAGAAGAAGAAGAAGAAGAAGAAGAAGAAGAAGAAGAAGAAGAAGAAGAACAATAAAAAGAAAGCAGATGAACAATCAGCCAAAGAAACAGAAAAGGGGGAGGCAGGGAGAAGAAAAAGCATGGACATAAGGAATGGGTAGAGAAATAAGAAAAATGGTGGTGGTATTAGTAGCATGTGGTGATGGTGGTAGTAGTAGTAGTAACATTTGGTGGTGGTGGTAGTAGTAGCATGTGGTAGTGGTGGTGTGGTGGTGATAGTAGTATTAGTAGTAGTAGTAGCAGCAGCAGCAGCAGCAGCAGCAGCATGTGGTGGTGATAAAAGTAGAAGCATGTGATGGTGGTGGTAGTTGTAGTAGCATGTGGTAGTGGTGGTGTGGTGGTTATAGTAGTAGTAGTAGTAATAGCAGCAGCAGCAGCAGCGTATGGTGGTGGTGGTAGTAGTAGCATGTAGTGATGATGGTAGTAGTAGCATGTGATGGTGGTTGTGGTAGTTGTAGTAGTATTATATTTGTAGTGGTATGAGTTAAAAATAGTGAGGGTATGATGGTTCTAATATACTTACAGCTATTAGTAATGAAAATTGCATGCATTAGCGTTCATTTATCTCACGATTGTAGTAATGTCTCACTGACATTCATATATCACATGATTGTAGTAGTGTCTCACTGGCATTCATATATTTCATGATTCTAATATTGTCTCACTGACATTCATATATCTCATGACTGTAGTACTGTCTTACTAACATTCATATATTTCATGATTGTAGTACCATCTCACTGACATTCATTATCTCATGACTGTAGTACTGTCTTACTGACATTTATATATGTCATGACTGAAGTACTGTCTCGCTGACATTTATATATCTTGTGATTGTAGTACTGTCTCAATGATATTGACCTATCCTATGATTGTAGTACTGTCTCTCTGACAAGCCTGAGGTTCGACCCTTCAATCCATCCCACGCCTGTCAGCAGGACTACCCCATCACCAGCTTCCAGCCACTCTACTATGTCGCTGAAAGTTTTGATGATGCTAAAGAGAAATTAAGGTAAGACAGATATTGCTCTACATTAGTGCATCATTGCACTATAGTTTGTACAGATGCAAACATGCATTCTGTGTTTCTTTCTCCTCCTCTTGCCTCCTCTTCCTTCTTCTTCTTCTTCTCTTTTTCCATCCCTTTCTTTTTCTTCTTTTACCTCACATTAAAATCTCCACACTAATTCCTTTGTAAACATCAAACAGCACATAAATAGTGCAGAGGCGCAGATAGATCATTACGGTCTGAGGAGAATGGCGCTGGTTACCTCACACCAGGAGGAGATGCGATCAAGTTCACTTTGCATTGCATTGGCAATCTCACGACGCTTTTTTCCATGTTGATAGACCATTGTGTCAGCAAATAACAGTCCTGTCACACCCATTCAGTTACTGGTCGGTTTTTCGCACGAATACACAATTAAAAGGACAGGAGACAGCGGAGAACCTTGAGGTAATCTAGGACAAATGGTTATCGAGTGTGAGGACCAACAACCACACCTGAGTACTTCCCGCATCTGCAGCCAGCCAGCGAATGATAGAGAGATATTTTCAGTTGGAGGATCTGCACCAGGTAGTCAAAGTGCACTCTGTTGTGCGCATCTTCTAAATCTAGTGCAGCTTGCACATGTCTCTTCTTTCGCCTGAAAACCTTCATAGACATCATGGGCGAAAACGGCTGCATTGAGCCATGTCTCTTTATTGCGCCTGTACCTTCCAAGTGTGGACGGTAGCCTGTCAGACCTTTCGAAGTGATCACTGAGTCTATGCGCTACTATTTTCTCCAGAAGTTTAACCTGAGTGTTATTCATCGTGATAATTTAGTAGCCGCTGATCTTGAAGTGGTCTTTGTTTGGTTTTGGCAGCGGTAGTAAGCAGCTTTGTAGCCACTCCTCTTTGAAATGAACACTCTGGATGCTGCCGTTGAATTCTCCTGCGAGTTTTGTCATATTTTCCTCTGATATCTGCAGCATATAAGCTAGTGACATGTCCAATATTCAAACATACCAGCTCAGCAGATACCAGAGCATCTTGCAGATCTTCCCCCTGTTTACTGGTGATAACATTACCTCATTGGCTTCCTCTGGCATTGAAGTCCCCGCAGTAGATACTATTTCTTTCCCCGGACATAAGCAAACGTTGCCACTGACACTCACTTGCCTTTCCGCTGCAGGCATAAATATTTACAGTCGTGAACTTGACTAAATGTTCTGACTGCATGCACCTGCAGGGCGTCACTGTTCCATTCAGACACGTCGACCTCCCATGCCAGCATGTTGTCGCGAACCAGGATGACCTGTCCGCGGTGACGTAGATTGTAGCAACATTGAAAACCCACTGCTCTAACCTCCTCGTCGCCAATGCGGGTTTCCTGCAGAACTACAATGTCATTGCCATAAAGCAGCTTTTCGACAATAGGTTACCTCTGATTTATGGAGGACCAGTTCCAGTACAATGTGCTAACGTATTTCATACTCAACCTGTCGCATTTTAACTTGTTCCTGCACTCACCAGTACACTTGCCGGCTTTAGTTCTTGTCGACAGTCGTCTGTTTGCCATATTTGAACTTAGACGCCGACGAAAACGCCGATAGGGGACTGGACACTCGTGCACGTACTCCTTTAGAAAACAAATACCTCAAACGTCCGCAGTACTACGTGACCACAATTCGTTCTATGATTGTTTCAGGCAATTTGCTGCGACCATCCCCCGGCCATTCAGCGTCCGCTACAATCCATACACACAAAGTGTTGAGGTCATCAACAGGAAGGAACAAGTCATTAACCTGACTAGAGATATTATGGGTAAGTGATTACTCATGAATTTTTAGAGGCCTCAGAGATGTGGTTTTACAGAAGAATGCTTAGAATACCTTGGACAGCCAAAAAGAGCAACCAAGAGGTTTTAAAAGAGGCGGGAGACCGAAGACAACTTATCACTGACATCAGAAGGAGACAGTCATCATTTTTCGGCCATGTTATGAGAAGAGGGAAAATAGAACATGTTGTGACCACTGGAAAGATCTGTGGAAGGAGGGATAGAGGAAGACAACGAGAGAAGATGCTTGACAGTCTTGTTGCGTGGCATGGAGGTGTGTCTGCACACGAACTGATACATGCTGCAGGAGATCGCGGATTATGGAGAGGCATGATCGCCCACGCCAGTCGGCAAGGCACCTGATGATGATGATTACTCATGTCTAATTTTATAGTAAAAGCAAATATGGTAACGACAACAAAAATAACATGATAATATAATGTCAATAAAGTTTGAAGCATTAATTTCTGCTTCGCCATCAGTCAGAACCTTCTTCTTCTTCTTCTCCTCCTCCTTCTCCTCCTCTTCCCTTTATTTTTATAAATCACATCATATAGTGCTTGCTGTTGTGTTTATCCATATTTGTTCTGTCTCACACATAAAAAGTAATTTTTTTGTGTTTGTTCTTTTTCTATTTCTTCAATTACCTAATCAAATTGTTAAGAGGAGATGTAAGATCTGTCTGCTCTTACTAATGTGTTGTGTAAGTTGGGTTTCATTTTCATCTCTTTCATTTTTTTTTCCCAGGAGATTTCTCACTTCTCCAAGATGCCCTGGCCAAAGTTCAGACATAGACTGGACATTTAATGTTCTAAAAATACATATAATGTGACCAAGTTGCTATTTGCCGAAAGGACAGTTTTCTAAGACAGTTGTGGTATGACTGCTGTCCTAAAAATGAATACATGTTAGGCAGTCTACAGAATGTCTGTAAGTATATTCATACTGAATGTATGTACATATTTGTAATTTGCCTAAAGGTGAACTGTACTCAAATAGGAATTGAATAATATTTGCATACTGTAATTGTGCAGTTATGATCCGCTCAAAATTGGTGGCAACCCTATTCTGGAACTCCGCTACGCAGATGACACAGTCCTCCTTTCGAAACAGCGTAAAGGGAATAAAAAATGTAATATTGTCTGTCCAAAAGCACAGTGAAGATCAAAATCTGTTCTTGAATTTAAAGAAAACGAAAATAATGTCCACAGATAAAACTGGCTGTCAACCAAAAATAACAATAAATGATGAAGAAATTGAAAATGTCATAAACTTGAATATCTAGGCTCTATAATAAACAGCAATGGAGACTGTTCGACAGAAATTTTAAAAAAAGGAGGATGGCCATAGCAATGCAAAGATTGAACAGCCTTAAAAGTCTTTGGTTAAGCACCAGCAAGGAGATCAAAATTAGAATTTAAAGAGCATGCATCTTCCCTGTGGCTACATACGGATGTGAATCGTGGACTATCTCTCAGTTCTTAAGAAAAACAATAGGGGCTTTTGTGCTGAAATGCTATAGAAAGATTCTTAGAATATCTTGGACAAAGAAGATAAGAAATATTGACATCTTAAAAGATCTGAACATTAAGGAAGATTGGCTAATAAATAGCATCCTTTCTCGAAAGCTGAAATATTTTGGTCATATCAAGTGCCACGACGGATTGGACAAAATTATAGCAGACGGCATTGTACCAGGAAGGATGGGCGCAGGATATAAGCGACTCCTTGAGTGTTCAAGTGAATGAGGCGGGAGAACTGGCAAGAGACCGAGTTTCTTTCAGGCAGACTGTGATTAGAGCGACGTTCTGCAAAGGACCTGCTACATTACGATGATGGTGTAATTGTTTTTATCTCTGTGGCTTAGAGGTTGTTGGATGTGTTTAACGATTTTATGATCCTTCAGTACTACACATTCTTGCAGGCTTAAATGTGTCGAATTTCAGTGTGTGTATGTGTGTTTGTGTTTGTGTGTGCATGCATTAGTGTGTATATTATGTATGTGAAGATGTTTGTGTATGAGTGATTGTGTATGTGTGTGAGTGAGTGTATATGTGTGTGAACGAGTGTATGTGAGTCAGTGTATGAATGAACAGATATATACCTGAGTACAAACTGCTGAATAAAAACTGACATTATATGACCTTCATTGCGTCTGCTTTGATTTTATTTTATGTCTTTTAATGTAGTACAATGTCTACATATCATAATGATGTAGACATCAGGGATGCAGTTAGAAAGGAGTTAGATGGCACCTTGAAGAATATGCATTATGAAGACATGATACAAGTGGAAGATATCAAACACATTTTGAAAAAAGCAAAAGACACTGCACCAGGGCCTGATGTAGTCCGGTATGGTCACATGAAGGCTGTGAGTGATGTAGACCTGGCAGAGGTGGCCGACTGTTTTAACCAGAGTATAAAGACAGCATCAGTACCGCAGGACTGGGTGCACAGCTATCTAACCCCACTACCAAAACCTGTTAAAGATCATTCTAAGCTTAGTTGCTTTAGAATCATCACTTTACAAAACACATTTGGGAAGGTCTTGGAGAAGATAGTTGCTGTAAAGCTACAAGAGTTTTTGGAAAAGGGGAAGCTTCTCCCAAGAGGTCTGGGAAGCTACAGGCCAAGAAAGGACACTTGGGCAAATGCGGCCACTTTTGCTTTTGACGTCTATGAAGGGTTCCAGAACAGACAGGAAACTATGGCGGTAGGATTGGATCTCGAGGATGCTTATAACAGAGTGAGATATGACATCTTAATGACTGCACTGAAGGACGAGGTCAGTCCATGGCTGGTGAATTGCGTTGCAGCTGTCCTGTATTCACGTCGGATTGCCCTCCGATTGGGCTCATGGACCTCAGAACCATGCAGTTTGGCCACAGGACTGCCACAGGGATCCGCCATCTGGCCTGTGCTCTTTAACGTGTATACGAGCAAGATTGCAAGCCTAGAAGCACCAGGAGTTGGAAGGATACTGCGATAGACGGTAGAACGTCAACAGAGAGAAAGAGCAAACTGAAGTATCTGGGAATTACATTTGACAGGAGCCTGTCATGTAAAGACCATGTGGAGAGTGTTGTGACGAGATGCCAAAAAGGACAGTGCACTTAAGACTATTAATTGACATAGAGCAGAGAATGCTTTTCACACTATATCAGCACCTGCACCTGTCAGTGGTGGATT